CATATCGCGCCATCGGCCCCTCTGGCCAATACCAGTAGGCGGTAGGGTAAAGTGTCTTGCCCAAGGACACAACGACCAGGACAGAGAGCCCCGGGATCGAACCGGCGACCTTCCGGTTACAGATACGCTTCCCAACCACCTGAGCCACGCTCTCTCTCTCTCTCTCTCTCTCTCTCGCCGTCACGCCTAAAGCTTCCCCTCTTCCTAAACAACCAAATGTCATGTTGCCATATCATTTTTTTTAAATTGGTCAGCATAGTGCATTTTTCCACCAACACAAACGGGCTGTTTTTGTTTTGTTTTTAAATTTTTTGGGTCATAAGCAGAGAGTGCTTGCTGCGCTGTCCTTAGACAGTAAACGTGACGAAACTATTAAGGAAAAAACGCCGTGTATATATTGTTTATCATGACTCTGGTTTTACGAGGCCTATCAACACAATTTAAAAACTGGTATATATCACTTTGTTGCTTTGTAATCTTGAAGTGGTCATGTAATTGGCTTACCACGACTACTTTATTCTTCCTCAGTCAAACAGCAGCACACATGCGATTGTTTTGCCCCCCTAGCTCCAGGTGTTGTGCCAAAAAGTGATCGTCTGCCAGAAAACGATTGCCCTCCGTGGAAGCGCTTAGCTGCTTAAAGCTGTAGCGCCCAGATTACTTACGTAGACAGCTACTTCCGTGCAACTGATATAAGAAGCAGTAAGCTGAAGACAGCTTCAACCGTCTGTTTGCTGAAAAATAGTAATGCGACAGCACTGCATTTTCTTGCTAGTAAGTAAGTAAAAGAAGTAAGTAAAATTTTATTTATATAGCACATTTCTAGATAAAAGATCACTAATTGCTTCACAAGGTATAAAACAAAAACAGACAAAAGTTAACAAAATGCACTTCTAAAAAGATGTGTAATGGTAACAGCGTTGCAATGATAGGAATAGTAAGTAGTTAGATTACTCGTTACTGAAAAAAGTAATGCCGTTAGTAATGCCGTTACTTGTAACACCGTTCCCATCACTGCTAATAAGTAACATGCCATCCATCCATCCATCCATTTTCTTCCGCTTATCCGGGGCCGGGTCGCAGGGGCAGTA